TTCGGTCCGGGGCTCGAGTCCCGGTGAACGGGCTGGCTGCATGGGTGTTTTCGTGATTTTCCCCATGTGTAACGTGGATACGAGCCAGTTTCCCTTAAAAAGACTTTCAAGGGGCATCCCTCCCTTTCCGTGTAGTGCTCAAGGGCGGAGCATGTAATAAGCAAAACAAAATATGTGTGCAAAATTCTAGACTCACATATTTATCTATTCCTGACTGTCATCGGTGTTGATTTTATGTAGGTGGAAGGTTCAATTCATCAGCTCGCATTGTCAGTTATCATTAATAGAAGGAAGAGCTGCTCGAAGGCATGGCCATTAGGATGTTCAAACCTCAGTCCATATCATGGATTTCCAGATTTTTCCAGATCATGTTTGGCATGCTCTAGGAAGAAGGATTATGAGTAGGACAGTCTGCGGCAGCATCGTGGAGAGAATTTCCGCAACATTTTAATAAATTTCAGGGAACTTGCTAAGATTTTAAGAACACCAGAGCTTCCCAGGAAAACCCAATAAATTCGATATTGAATAAATTCGATATCGAATTTTGGATTTATTCCTGTTGCTTTTGATACCTATTCTAATTTTTAGTCTTTTATGTTTAACTAATTTTATATTACTTTCCCTTACGCAAAAATGCAGTGCGATACTGTCATGCTGAAACAAGACTTTGAATTAATTTAAAGTGTCTAGATTTCTGGAGTGAGTAAAAAAACAATATTCTTCGAATAAAGTCGCCTTTCTTTGCCTGTCGATGGCGACAAACAATTTCAAAGAGCTATCATTTACTAAATAAGTGCTTTTTAATGAATAAAATCTCTGTATGTATAGTATAATATATGCTATATGTTATGTATCGTCCAATTAATTAGATCTAAAGTGATGATATTGAATACTTTTTCAACCTCTAATTGATTTTTAAAAGAAACATTAAATTAAAAATACGTAATATAAAATGTTTGTTTAATTACCGTGTCCGCAGAAGTCCTTACTTTCATTCCACAATCATTAAAAATGTTTTTAAGAACGCAAATATTCATGTTTTGTCGTTTTTTGCTTCCTTTTACGAAGTAAAGGAAGTATTGTAATCGTGAAAAATTTCGGGTATCATATTTCAATGAAAATATCCATTTTAACCGCTCCCGAATTCATTTGAGCGATGTTTTTGCTGACATCCATGAGTACGGGCAAAATAAAGGACTCTTTTTTCTACAACATGCATTGTAAAATCGATTTAAATGGATACAGAAGAGACTTTTTCGTGACGTATATTTCGTGACTTATATGTACGTACATAAGTATGTATGTATCTCGCATTACTCAAAAACGAGTAGCCTCAGAAGGTTGAAATTTTGTGTAGAGGACTTTTATAACACGTAGTTCTGCACCTCCCATTTTTTTGCAATCGACCGCACCAAACGTATTGTTACATGCGTACGGGATGGTAATAGATTGAATGCACAAGTCCGATAAAAATTTAATAAAATTTATTCTAGTCATAGGAAATATAACAAAACGCTGGATTATTCCTCAAAGATATTCGTACAATATCACAATATTACGCAATATAAACAATAGCTATATTTTAAACTACTAAAACTGTAAATAGAATGCAATCTAAAGCGCAGAGAAAGCTAATCCGAATAACAAAGTTACAGCAGCTAAGTAAACTACTCACTAAACAACTGAGCTGAGATGTTCTCTCTCTGGCTTTTTATAGCTTTTCAAATCGGCCGCGCGAGATAGGTCTAGCATTTCGGGAAAGCAAAAAAAGTAGAATTACGGTTACATCTAACACAGTACTCAATTAAATTTATTCAAATTAAATATAAATGATCAAGATAAACTTTTATTTAAATTTATTCAAATTAAATATAAATGATCAAGATAAACTTTTATTCAATGTTAAATGCACGTGCTCTTGTATTTTTACTTTTCCGATGTAGGTTTCTCTTAAAATATGTCTCGTGCTGCATTGGACGGGAAATAAAAAAAATTTTAATTATAATTCTAATATATATATATATATATATACATATATGGATTCTCAATGGATTCAGAGGAACGAAACATGTTTTCGGAACTCATTAATCAACTTGGTTAAGGCTTCAAAACACTTTTCCCTTGACAAGTTCTGTTTGAAGCGTTAAGCAAAAGAGATTATAACTTTTACTGTTTTTGGTTTTATTATGTAAAATTTCATGTATTTTATATGTTTTTACTCTTTGAAGTGAACATTATTTGATTCCAATTTCGTAATTTTCTTTTATTTGCATTCTACCAGTTTATAACGTAACCCGGAGATATTAGGTTGGACCTTAAAATAATTATTAATACGGAATTTTATTCGTTTTCATTCTGATTTTTTTTTGATATTTTGATTTATATGTGTAATAAAATCAAACTCAGAAGTAATGACCACCAGGAATTTTGATGGCTTAGAGATGTTGAAACTCCAGTCCCCAATGAATAAGAAATTTGGCAGTCAAGGTATATTTAATTCTCACTTTTATTTCAGTAAACATGTTGTGGACACAACCAAGTTAGATATTAATCGTGCCTATTCCAAAAAGTTTACATTTTAGAAATAATAATAATAATTAAGAAATAATTTTAGAAATAATATAATGCAATAAGAAAGAAGGCACACAGACTGCAGTCCAGCTAGGGCAAAGCGTAGAAAGCAAATGTGTTATGTTTAGGGTAAAATCTTAATTCAGGCTGAGTTAGCTTTGGTTCTCAAGGCATTTTGATTGGATAGTTAATATTGCTATAAAATTACTATTGGTTGTTTCAGTTTCGGTCCTATTTACATTACCAGAATTGCGTAAGAATCATATGACATGGCTTAATCTCGAAATGACACAGTGCAAATGGAGGCTAATACAGAGGCTGTTCACACATTTTTTAGACGATGTATATTGTATTCACAAAATTAAATTACGTTAAATTCTTGTGTTTTAAATGTTCTATTTGAGATTCCTTAGTCTAAACTATCTTTCGACACCGCAATGCTTAGGATAATAATGCCTTTTGAAGTGGCAGAAGAGGTATTTTATCCCATTCCTCCCGAACAGCTTTCCAGAGTCCTGTTAGGGTTTTGGGACAACGTTTGGATAATGCAGGTTTTAAAAGTCCGAAAGCACAAAAATCCATAGATGACACATCGGGAGATTTAGCAGGGATATCAGTGAAGGGTATGGCCTTGATACCAGTTTTTTTTCCATTTCTTTTAGGAAATTTACAGTGGATTTTGATGTGTGACTGCTAGCTTTGTCCTGATGGAGTCTCACAGATTGATGGCACTGTGGGTAAAGCGATGGTATTTCATTCAGAAAAATTGGCGATAAAATGTGTTCCTGATAGTATTTGGAGTTAATCTTGACATTTGTTTGCACTCTCTTTATTTTTAACTTGCCATTATAAGAAAAACCAGCAACAATCATGAATCCCTTAGAAAAACTTTCTTTCGATTCTTTGAACATGTACTTAAATTTTTTTCTCCCCTTTTATGATAATAAATGGCTTTTTTTTTGTTACAATCATTTAAATACACCCATGCTTCATCTATTGTGACAATTGTTTTCCATTTTTCTTTGGATAAGTGTTTCTCATATAGAATTCTGCAGGGTGTCCTGCTTGAGCGATATGCTTTGGAAGAAGACGATGCACATTGCGTTTTTTCGCTTTCTTAAGATTTAAATCAACGTTTATCATTTTGTTTACAGTGGACACCGAGCATTTTAATGATTTTGCAACTGTCCTTTGACTAAGGGGATTTCCTTTTAACATTAAACAACGTACCTTTGCAATAGTCGAAGATGTCCGTTTTTTCGTTAGATACTTGTTTGGAATTTTTGTCCCCACTTGAGGCTCCAATTTGACGTTATTTCCTTTCTTGTTGATGATATTACCTATCGACCTTTAGATATCACAAAATCATGGCTCTCACATCGTTTTTGGATAACGGAGTATGCAGATTTCTCTTCGGAAAGAGCGTAAATGTGGCCTTCGAACCACTGCTTTGTTAAATTCGTCATTTTGGATAAAAACAAAACTTTCAAGCCACAGACGATAATTTTGAAAAAACATAGTGCAATTAGAATTACTTCTTTTGCAGCAAACGAAGTTTTATTAATGCTTACCAAAATCGTCTAAAAAATGTGCGAACAGCCTCTGTATTTTTAGAATACAGAAGTGAATTTAAACTGCTAATTTAATATTTTACATTTGCTTTATTTTTCTTACACTCTGGATGAGCTTTTTATGCCTTTAGTTAATACGCATGCAATAGTTGTAGAATTAGCAACAATTTAAAAGTTTTTTAAGTGGTAGTAAGCTTAACGAAGCCGCCATTTGTTTACATTTGAAACTGTTAGTAGAATAATTAATTAAGTTTTTGCACCAAACTAGAAGTGTCCTTTTGCCGAGTGTGACCAAAATAAACTTTCAATTTTGTGCACCGAAATATCGAAATATCTGTCTTTTTGTTGCTGGCCGAATTGCTTATTTTGGCATAAAAACTCTCATTTTAACAGTAAAAACTGTTTTTCTTTAACTGTTTTTAACTGTATTTGGTGTTTTACGTTTTTCTGCGTTTTAAAATTTTTAATTTTTTTTTTTTTGAGCTTTTATGCATTTTTGCCTTGCCGTGAAATGAGAACTAAATTAATTGAAAGAGAAATATATCCCAAATGAAATTCCAGGGAATAAGTTTAAATGAAATTTAGTTAAAAAAATATTTTATGACGTTAATATGGGGTATAATTTTGTGAAATTTTCACAAGGACATTTACTAGGAATTTAGATAGTGCCTTTTGCAATCAAAACGTTTCAAAGTAAATTTCATTTACATTTCTCAAAATTTATTTAATTTTTTCGAATTGATTTTATTTTTATTTCTTAACATTTTAATAGCGCAAGCAGTACAAAACTAATATTACCTGTTATTAATTTAATAAAAATATGTCATTTATTTCTTCAGAGAAGAATAGTAAACTTACCTCTAACAGCTTAGGTAAAGTCTCCTTGATATAATGGTCTATCATGCCATTCGCTGCGTGCAATTGTTGCACGTAAGCGTTATGCATGTCATAATACTCTGCTAGCTTTGTATGACTCCGATGAGATATTAAATTATTATAAGCTTCAGTATAGTCTTGATGGCACTGAAAAGAATAGAAAAATAGCCTAATTAGGAACAACGCTTTTAAAAGTCGCTTTTATAAGAAGAGATGTATGCAGCTTTATCAACGTAAGCAAGTACATATGAAACTTTTGTTTACTTACGTTATATAGATTATTTAAGTTTAACTAAGATATGGTTGAAAGACATTAACCATTCGATATTTAAATATAATGATATTTTTCAAAATTCTGAAAATTAAATACACTTAAAATTAGTTAATTAGAAGAATTGCACCCAACCTTAAATTGGTGATAAAGTTAAACCGTTGAATATTGATATATGGGCTGAACGCAATTCTAGCCGACAATCTATAATTATGTCGATTTTAAAGAGTAATTATCCCTAAGTAATAATTATAAGCAATATTATAATTTATTATTAAGCAGCTGTGGGATAGTTATATTTGAAAGATGCTGATCTAAATAAAAACGCGACAAAATAAATTTAATTTTCAAAGAAAATTAAATATAAATACAAAATTATGTAATGCGTATGTACATAGATCATATTTTAAAAATTTTTTCTACAGAGGAAGCACACGAAATTGTTTAAAAAGATAAGGAAAGTTATCATCCATTATACACACTGTTGCCACATTCTAAATTCCAATAACACCGAGCTTTATGACGCTGGACTGCCGCAACTGAAAAGCATGTACTATCTGATTAAATACTAGCCCACAAGGGCAATCCGACCAGAAGGGTTATTAATTTCATTTTTGCATTTTGCGTTAGTTCACTATAAAAGGCGTTTTACTTTACAAATTGTTGCCACCAAATATTACAGCCCTGCATTATGTTTAAAAGAATTAAATAATGAAGAATTCGCGTGAATGTATGTATGATTCTCGTACTGCGAAAACAAAAGGTGCCTAGAGACATTACATTTTGAATAACGTAGTCCTTCATTCGAATATGGGCATATGGAAGCCCAAATTTGGAGTTTGTTTTATTATCGATTTCGTAAAACTCTAATGAATTTCTGATTAATAAACTCAACGATTTCAAGGCAAGTTTACAACCTTTACTAAAAAAATGTTTCTAACGTAAGAAATTTTATCGGAAAATTTAAAAGATAGCATTTTTTAAAAATTATTTTTGCTATTTACGTGAATTGCGATAGTTAAGCGAAACAAAATTTATATGTTTTTTGTAAAAGCACAATTTGTGAGAAAATTCCTTTTGCAAATTTTTTGTAATAATGAGAAAATAGCAAGTGTACGGGATAAGTCAAGAGTGAGCGCATGCTTTTTTTTGTGCAATCTGAAATGTTTTTTAAGTAAAAATAAGTCGACGTGTACATGGTTTATGGCGAATACGGTTTTCCATCAGTGCTAAAAGCATAGCCAAAAGATTTCCGCCGAAAAAAATAATTCTGCAAACTTATTCAAATTCGAAACCGGAAGGGTTTAATTGCTATTTTATATTTTGAAACAAAATAATAGAAAAAAACTGTATTAAAAATTATCTGTAATTAATAAATGTACATTTTCTTTCTATTCATACTTTTTTACTCAAACTTACAAATAGCGCCAACCTGGTTGCGATAATACGTAAGTACCGTTTTCTTTTCTTCTACAACTTAAATTGTTTAGTTTCAGCGCACCGAACCATCCTGAAATATCACAATAATATTTTGCATTAAATTTATGATCCATTTCAAAGTGAATTCATCAAAAAAATTTCATGAAGACAATAGAGTTTAAGAAAGTCCAAGAAAATACAGCTAAAATGGAGCAGAAAAAAAAAAAAAAAAGAAATGTGAGATATTTTATAGCGGTTCTTATAAAAACGAGAGCAGCTTAGAAATGATTGCAAAATTTATAGCCTCTTCTACATTTTTCGGAACCATTCTTTTTTCCTTTTTCTGTTACGATAAAAAGAACAGTTAAAAGCATACTTAAATGTAAAAAGAATATTAAATGTTATAAAATATGACATAAAAGAGCACGAGCTTAACCCCTTGTAAATAAAAATACTTGCTGTTCGGTAAAATTTAGATTTTTACTAAAAATGCTATGTTTTTAGGGCTTTAGGTTTTTCAATTGCTTCACAACTAAACATACCGAAGAAAGCAGATTAAATTATTTTACTATTATAAGATAATGATAAAGTAATTTACATTAAAGCAGCCCCAAAACAATATGAAGACTTTTTTTTGAAAATATATTCAAAGGCAAATAATGTTTTTTTAAGTTTATGAAAATAATTTATCTCCAAAGAATTTTCATAGTGCTACAGTACAAAAATACGGTTAATATTTAGATAAAAAGTATGGTTCATCATACATGCCCTTAAAAGAATTCCAGAAATTAAATGTGACTTTATTTTTATTTAAAATCTATTTATTATCTATTTTTATTTAATATCGGTAACAAAATGATATAGCTCTAAAAACTACGGAAATGCTACTAAATAATGAATGCTTTAATGTAATTTACTCTTTCGCATTAAATCAAACATTTATACGGTAAAATGTGATTTTTAGAAAAGGTAATTATCACTAGATGACTTTCATTAAACAAACCGCAATATTTATGACGAAAAGAACAATTCTTTTTTTATTTAAAATATTTTTAACGTAAAGTTAGGAATATTTTAATCTAATGAACTGCCACCAGTTTTAAATATAACTGTTACGTTTTCGTACAAAATCTTTCTTTTATAGAAAAAATATTTTTTTATAGATCTATTTCAGATTCCTTAGAAACTCATATATTACTTTCTAAAATTAATGTCAGACAGAAGCTGATAGTTAATTGATTAAGCAAAGCACACGAGGACTACCTGTCTTAAGAGGAAGGGTGTTTACGTGAAGGACTTTCTAAGGGAAGCCGGCTTAGATTATCCATGAGAAAAAATACTAATACTTACAGCATATTCGCCGGAATAGGAACCCAGGTTAAACTATCAATTTTCAGGAGTGTTAAACACTTGGCTACTCATGGGACACCTAAGGATAAATTTTACTTAATTTCCGACACATTTCGCTGTGCGCCCACCAGTGGCCGAGCGGTAAAGTCGCTGAACGCTGGTAGTATGGCCCGTAGGTTCGAATACTGCGAATGAATTTTCTGCATGGGCATTTCTGTGGTTTTCCCCATATGTTACGTGGATACGAGTCAGTTTCTGTGTGTTACGTAGATTTAAATTTCCAATACTGCAGTTTTTAAAAATAATACGACTCGAAATAAATGCGTTTTCAAAAAATAAAATATATTTTTCTATCAGGAAACAACTATTAATAAAATGGAGAAATGTAAATTGCAAGTACTTAAGGTGGCATATCTGTCTCGGACATTGATGTTTCTTTTTTTGAATTAATTCTATAGTTGTTTATTAAATATATGAGCTACAGATCTAGGAATTTAATTATTCAGTTTACTGAATATTTTCCAGGTAGTTCTTCCTGTTTATATTTTCTGAAGCTGGAGTATACTTATTTATATTCCAAGTATATGCTTACAATTCTATTTTAAAGGTATGGATTCTAATTCTCGAAAGAAAACTATATAATACATTAAAAAAAGCTCTTGAATGTGTGTTACATTAGTTCAATATATCAGCATAATGATCTGTAATATAAACTGTGTAGGATAATATAAAAGTTCATAGTTTTAATTTAAATAAATAATATCTTTATTACACAGATTTTTGTTATAGTTTATGTTAATTTTGCTACTGTTGTAAATTCTTATACGGCAAATATATTGTAAGCTTCAGTTCTTTATATAAGAAACAAAATTATCCGGCTAATGGATTTTTCTTCGGATAAAAGATTATGAGTATTTCGATATGATTATGAAAATCATTTTAAGGCACTTCAGCAGTCTCCTAGGATAAAAAAAAATGCATACTTCCACTGATGTATTTTCTGTTCGTACCCGAGTGTAGAAAGTTCTCCTTACAGGAAGAAAGGAATTTTAATTTAATACAAAGTTAATGTTTTTATTTACGTAAATAACTTTATTATCCTTTCATGAATTAGTGGCAAAGCTCAAATTCATTAATAAAATTGATTAATGTGTTTATAAGGGAAGCTTTGGTAATTCTCAACGGGAGCATGTAATTTTTCCTAAAGGTTCTAATTCCATCACAGGAGGTTCAAGGGATATTTTGTGATTTATCGAGGAAAAAACTTAATATAATCTTTAAATAATTGAACAGAAACAGTTATATCAGGAATTTATATTTTAACGGAAATATTAATAAAATAAACAGAATCTGATGAAAAATGAAGGAAGGCCTCAACATATAATAACATTTAATTCTCTAGACTAGAGGAAATCATAAGATCCTGAAATTCGTGATTACGATGTTTGTTGTTTCCTTGCTATTAGAAAGCGCAAAAACATCTCGAAATAATAAGGTATTTCTCCCACTTCCCTAGCGTGCCTTCGTGGTGTAACGGTAGCACGCTGGGCCGGTATTCCAGAGGTCCGTGGTTCGATTCCCGGCGAAGGCGTCGTTAACTTTTCATCTTTTCTGCCTCTAAAAAAATCCTAATGATTCTACAAGTGGCTCCCGAACTAAAAGGGTTGTGGATTATGATTCTCCGCACCCAGGAACTGGCGACTAGGTCCCCTAAAACCGTAGTCTCCTTTTAAAAAAGGGAGTATATAAAGTATTTCTCCCACTTCCCTAGTGTGCCTTCGTGGTGTAACGGCAGCACGATGGGCCGGTATTCCAGAGGCCCGTGGTTCGCTTCCCGGCGAAGGCTTTGTTAATTTTTCATCTTTTCTGCTTTAAAAAAAGAAAAAAAAAGTAATGACTCTACAACTTTTGTAATAGAAATGTGAAATAGGTTTTTAAAAAAGGAGCCATTATATTCTATTATGAATATACTTATATTCTATTATTCAAATACTTTCGATATGTACATTAATATTTCGATATGTACATTTGTACATTAATATACCCATTTGATATTGTTCCTTATAATGCATCAGAATAACTTCTTATATCCAAGTTACCACTGACT